ATTAACTAGCCAAACATTTTAAGCAACAATGGAATCAACTCAACTAGACATCTAACTGACAGCATAACGTCACAGAACAGCAGCAGATATTCGGCTCAATATAGCACTTATTAGGATTACTTTTCGACAGGACAATACATATATATTTGTTGAGAGAGATGGAGAGATTTTCTTCACAGACTTTTTTTTTTTAATCTTCACAATAAAACAAACAGGAATATAACGATACCAGTATTTCCAGACATCATTTATATTTTAATTCCTAACTTATTTTATGCGTTTGTGTGTGTGTGTATTTATGTAATTTTGGAGATATGACATACTAGCACGTGTATATATGTGTGCGTGTGTGTATGTATGTATGTATGCATTAGGCCTCAAATTAATATATAATAACAACCGTAAAAAATATTGAAAGATGAGCGTGAAGATATCTCATAATAACAATATGACGTACTAGTTAGGCCTGTGTACGTTCAGGTTGAATATGTCTTTTAATATGTCTTATCAATTATATAATAAAATCCACTAAACCGGCAGCCATTCGTAACATAATTAGTCAACAATTCATTCAACCATTAAAGTAGTTTCAAATCAAAATAATGGCTATATTCATAGAATATATGTTTTATCAAAATACTGTCTTATCTGGATGCCACTTAAATGAAATGTATACGCAGGTATATATTAAATTATATATGAGTGAACCCATCAGTTTAGAAATTCTGAAAACACTATTAAAGAAACTACAGTACAGGCATTAAAATAGTTTTAATTACTGATACTAGGTAGAGACAATTGGCGACGCCTACATGGTGGTAGGTGGACTCCCAGAAGTAATACCAAACCATGCAGAAGAAATTGCTACCATGGCCTTAGACTTACTTCACGTCTGTGGTAAATTCAAAATTAGACATATGCCTACTGTTCCTTTAATGTTGCGTATTGGGCTTCATACAGGTAAGGATATCATTATATCGAATCTACAATAACACAGGTTTTGGAATCCACTTCTTAATGGATAATGCTGGTTTTTTAATCAGTTAATTATCTTTGAACTCACCAGTAAAGGCATTAATTGAGGAGGAAAGTAAAATGGATTTAAAAATACGTGCTTACTGGAAACTAAACGCTAACAAATAATTTTCATTATATCACGAGAAAATTGAAGAACGTTTTAACTATTTTAATTTTAGGTTTTATATGTCACAAAGGATTAAGAAGATATTGATATCTAATAGAGACAGAGAAGGGTTAAAAAAATATTATAAGTTAATGAAAATGATAATGTGGTTATTTGCTTTTTTAATATTAAGTTGTTTAAAAAGGGTTTTCTTTTTTCATTGTCCGTCCAAATATAACAATTTGTATTATAATGATCAAGTTGTTATGATTTTTTTAATGAGCAAATATAAAACAGGTACAGAGTTTTATATTTTCATGCGTATTCTGGTGGCAGTTCCACTTTTGAATACAGTGGTGTCTTCTAGCGTGAAAATTATTTAGATATATTGCCATAATTTATATTATAATGATAATAATTTCAAACAAAAAAGAAAGACAAATACGATTAATTTTATTATCAACTAATAATGAATGAAGTTCGTTCTTTAGATAGATGTGTATATCATTTCAAAATAGTGCATATATTAAAGACTTGGGTTTATTGGCCTCAATGATGTAAGTCATTTGGTTTTTCTGCTCGGCACAGCTTCAAGATTTCTGAAATCTTACGAATGTTTATATTTTCAAATTCATCACGTTGAATGTATATGGCTTACAATGGTTAAATTCAAAAATGAGACAAACATTTTTCTAACAGTGAATACTTGAAATTTATTTTGTAATAAGAAAGTGAAACCTCAATAAAATGCTGAAATTCCCACAATCCTTAGCAAAGTGTGCGGGTGTTCATCTCATTAGCACGCGTCGTCTGCTAGCCGAAAATCTTCTGCTACTGCACTGTTGTTGTTATGTATTTTAGTTTATCTTAATTCGAAGCGAGACAAAGTAGAAAGTCTAGGCTTGAAATTGTGGCTCATGGTGACGAGAGGTGGTGGCAGTAGTATATAAGGCATTTACTACTAAACATTTTCAAGAAAATAATGTGCTTGAGCGTAACTTGTTATTGATGGCTAATCATTACAGATCTTTTTTTTTTCTTTTAACTGCTTTCTCAACATATGATTTTTTTCTTTTACATTGTTAGATATACATTTTAAGTTTAATAGGAGAGTATTATTTAGTTTATATAGCGCGAGCGTTAAAGTAAGTATTTTCAGAAGTGTTAGTTATGGCAAGTTTGATTGTGTAAATGCTTACGAATGAATTGTTGTGTAGTTTAATTGCTGTGAATTGACGTCATGTTACTCGAACCTTCTAAAATTTTCTGCTTTCTTTAAGTACGTATTGTTGCATCATATATCTAGTAGTGTGTAGAAGATTCTAGGCCTCAGTTTGGCTGTTTATAAATACGCATACAAAATGTGATAGGAAGATAAGGAAAAGAAAAAGAGATAGATATAGACTGGGTGATCGCGAGTTTAGCCATAAACACTTTTAAAATGTAGTAACAGTGTAAGAAGAATAATTCATCTTATCAGCTGGGTTCTAAAGAAACAACCAGCCTATGTGGACTTTGGACGTAAAATAGAATTATTTAAAGCTTTAGATACAAATGTGCTAACTCATGGAGTAACGTAAGTGAATTTATCACTGATCGTATTGTGATAACAGAGTAGAGAAGAATAATTCATCTTGTCAATTAGGTTCTAAAGTAATTGAACCAGCCTGTGTGGACTTTTGACGATAAAAAGGAATTATTTAAAGCTCTGGATTCAACTGTGGTAATTAACTGTGTGACGCACATTTGTATATACGTTTGACTAGTTTTAATATATTATTTTAAAACAAGTGGACTGTGTTCTGTTTGTTTATTGTTGAAATATATCGCTAACAAGTCACAGGTACTTACTCTAAAGAATCCGGCCCATACATAATATAAAAATTGAAATATGAAAAATGAGTATGTGGAATTCAACCCTAGAGCTTCTACTACTACTACTCCGTTCATCACACTAACTGCTAGCAATTTCGTATTAACTTCAGGTTAAATTGTTGGTTTTTATTATATTAGCTGTACTTTTGGTTATACAACATTATCCTCTGTGTATTCCAGGCCCAGTGGTGGCAGGTGTTGTAGGACTAACCATGCCTAGATATTGTTTATTCGGAGACACTGTCAACACCGCTTCCCGCATGGAGTCTTCTGGTTTAGGTATGGGTATTACTTAAAAACTATAGTCTCTCTCAGGGTTATATTTTCACCTAGATATCTCTGGTGTCTGTTGTATCTCTCTTTGCAGTAACGTTCCTATATTACATGTACAGTGTACCTAAAGGTTTAAAATAAATGGGCTTTCAATTGTCTGTATTTATTACCTTCGGCGACGGAGGTTATGTTTTCATCCCTGTATGTGTTTGTCAGCAGGATTTCTCCAAAACGGCTGAATGGATTTGGACGAAATTTAGTATTCATTTGGACTATGACCCAACTTAAAAGTGACTAGTTTTTGGAGGGTCAAGGTCACCGCAAGGTTACGAAAATCCAAAATATCTCTATCTGTTAACATGGGGACCTATTTTTCATACTATTTTAGCTCTATAACTCAATAAAAAATGATCGGATTTTGATTAAACTTGGTGGACATGTGTAGAGTACTATTCATCATTGTCATGCCAAGAATGATCCGTGTCCGTTGATAATGACAGACATACGGAGACATTTTCGTATTTTTTTTTAGGCCCGAATATGATCAACGCTGCGTAGCGGAGGTATGCGCTCTTCTGATTGTTCCTCTGGTTGTAACAATATGATTGTTTTTTTTATATACTTGTAGTGCATATTGACGTATGAATTATGTTTTTTAATTTCCCAATAATTGCACCTTTCTTGGAAACTTTTGGATGATGGGAGTTGAAGTTAATAGAAATAGTTTTTTTTAGGTAAATTGTATATTATTCTCATTATTGGTCATTAAGGTATCAGCAAAAAATTAAATCTATACTCCTTGTATTGTAGTAAAAAAACAATACTATACGCTCTGAACTAAACTCATCTTGAGCAATGAATATCCACAAATTTTCAAGGACTATGATACGCAAAAATTAACATCGCATCTTTAAAATGTCAAAAATACAATTTTCCATAGATAACACAAAAACTATTACTCTTATGCTACTTATATGTAATGAAACTATCTCCAAAAAATATAAACTATGATTAGGAAATCTGATCTGCCGATTAAATTAATAAAACATCCAGGTTCAACACTATAAAGCCAACTTTCAAAATCTCAGTACACTACCCTAAAATGTAAGAAAGCCAACTGTTTTACAAAAACGTGTTTGTCGTCTAAAGATGGGTGTTTTGTCTCCAGTGTTCTTTGACATCATACGTACACTGGTGAAACCAAAAAGTCCCCAGTGGGACAGCGATAAATCTCCGAACTTACAACGCTAAACTCAGAGGTTCGATTCCCCGCGGTGGACACAGCAGATAGCCCACTGAGGCTTTGCTCTAAAGTAAACAAAAACGTAAGAACGCTTCACACAAGTATAGGCGAACATATTGACTCTCTTTATAGACAACAACATGAAAGAAACGCAGTTGAATATAATTTTTTTAAACTAATCCTGGACAAATAACACCTGATATAAATCCACTATACTCTGTACAAATCCTTACAAAAGCCACCAAGTACAATGACAGAAAATGCTAATGTTGTTCTTTGTAGTTCTAATATTATGAATTAATTTGTTTTAGATATTAACGCTGATGATGGAAGTTAAGGAAATTCCGAAACGTCCGCATTAAAGATGTTTTTTGATATTATCGTGTTTTTAATATGTCAATGTAGAAGCAAATTTGACAAGAACTTTATGCAAATTCACTTTGCCTGAAAAACTTGTTACATGTGTTATATATAAAATGATTAAGGACTAATACATTCATTTAGAAGAAAACGTTACACTGAACCATATGCTTTACATTAGGAGTTTATGGTAATAAAGGTCTACATCAATTTTTTCTTTGATATTAGTTTTGAATACACTTTATAACTTCCCACTAGGCGTTATTTGTGCTTAAACAGAAGACTAAACAAATAAGCAACTTGGTATATTTGTTTTCTCTATTTTTCGTTAGTGTTAGTTTTTACTTTACATATTTGTCCCGCATTTCCTGGAAATATAGGCCATAAAAGATTTAATATGTAAAGAGAAAATAAAAAGTTTGTTTTACTCCGATTAGAATGAATTTATAATTGCACCACAAAGTAAAGTATACAGTAGTTTGTGACACCGATGACAAAGATAGAATAGCCGATGCTCTTCACTTACCGTTATTCGCTATTTCTCTAGCCTATAGAATACACATCAGTAAGACGACGGAGCAGAAGCTACGTAGTGCTGGGGGCTATACCATACAACATAGAGGAGAAATAACTCTGAAGGTATAATTTTTTATTTCTGTGATGATCATTAAAATGTTCATCTTTATGTAAATATTTCTTCTCTATTTATTATCTTTTATAGCTCTGAGATATTTGTGTTCGAGTATTATCTTTCGGTTTTATAAAGAAAACACAATTAAAACGTTAAGTTAGCAAATGTTGCCCTTCCATGCATGCGAATGCACTGGAAAATTAAATTATGTAAAAAAATGATTTTATATTTGATAAAAAAAAAGATTTTCAACTTCAGAAGAGGGTAATACTTTAATATCCTGGTATATCAACTTACGTATTCAGCAGGGTACAATGTAAAAGAAAAATTGAATACACATGACGTAAAAATTAAGCTTTTTTATATATAAGTAGTTTCGAAAGAATTGTACTGAGTGACACTCTAACATGCATTACACATGGGACAACAATAAAACAATTTTGTAATAAAACTTTTAACACTTGTTTTTCGTAGTAGGTTCTATTGTGTAATTTGGAAGTATATAAATGTTAAGCTATATTATTAGGTAAATATAAGCGATAACAAATTAATACATATATATCAGTAATGTGTATAAAATAGCTTAAATATATAAACAATATGTATACATATATGTATCATAGAGAGTAAATACTCATGAAAATAAAATCTCAAATTATGACACGAAAATAAAATAGATTTTTCATAAATAAGAGAATTAATATGAAAACAAATTTGCAGACACATTATTTTGGAAAATCATTAAATTGCAAGAGAATGAAGCGTCACGTCTGTAGTCGTATACTGGTGTTTTGAAACAAGGTTGGATTTGTCAGTGAAATAGTTTTAAAGCGGTCAATCTTCATTTTCCTTATTGTTGGTGTTAAAGACTTAATAAAAAATACGCTTAGTTAAGATTTCCTGTCAAGGTAAGTTTTTGCGATTGCGAGGATTTTTTTTGATTTTTGAAATAGGGTTATTTATATTTATATTTATTTAGGGTTATATATCAAGATTTTATAAAGTTATCAATCCCTTATCGTTTATATTTACCGACTTTTGTTTTTCCTATAGCGTAATAATATAGCTTAAAATTTCGGTATTTACCCAACAAAACCTAAGCAAAGAAATATTGTTAAAACGCTTTAAACTAACGCTGTTTAATTGTTTTACCACATATGATGTCAGGAAGTCACTCGATACAGTTGTTTCGAACACAACTTATAAATAAGCTAATGATGTCAGTATACCTCTGCGGAGTGAGAGTGGGGGGCAAAATGTGTCCCGAATCAGCCAGGATCGTAGCTACCTTTTGTAGTTACCCCATTGAAATAAGCCTAATTTTATATTAGTTGTACTCAGCTTTTGTTTTACATTGTACCTTGATAAATATGTGAGTTAAAATGTCAATGTTAACTTTTTCTGAGTTGCAAGTCGTTTCTTATTTTATCAAGTATGTCGGATAATATACCTTAATTACCATTTCACACATTAAAATCATTTTTATACGTGGATTAGCTCGAAATCTATATAAACAGTAATGGAAATAATTCAGCCAAGTTGCTCAGTCGCCTTTTGACCTTCTAATAGAGTATCAAGAATGCGCAAATCGGAACATTGTTCAAACAAAGCCATGACTGTATCAAATTGACCTATTTACGGTAACAAATTGTTACGACAGCGGAAGTCACGTGACGCTGGTAATATGTCATGAGTTTCTAGAAGGATCATGACTGTTCCTGGCAACTCTAGTGTTTGCCAGACGCCCTCTATTTTTGTATATAAGCCCGGCAAATAAATAGGAGATATAACTGCAGATAGAGAGATGGAGACAGATAATTGAGTCAAGTGAGCGGTAGTGACCGTAGGTAAAGTGCGTGAATCGTTGTGAATTATAGCGTGTGTTTAAGTTAAAGTGACTGTGGAAATTAATTGTATTACAAAGTTTGTAACGAGAAAGAATAAACTAGTTTTAATTAAGAAAGGATTTGTATCGCTGAAGTTTCTCGGAAAGAATTTATACCGGAAATTATCAAACGAGCAGATACGTAACAATATCATCCAACCACATCTGCTGTATGGATCCCTACCTGATTAATCTTGTTCCTGAGAGAATGACACAATGGATCAGAATCTGCCTATAATTGTTCATCAGTTTTGTGTAGATCACAGACACTTTTGACTGAGATGCAGCCCCAACTTGAACTGACCCCCTCTTCCCCACCATGCTTCATTGACTAACATACCGTTCTCCTCTCTGTCGTCGAACAAACTTTCATTCATTGTTGCTGAACAGTTCGAACTTGGATTCATCTGTAAAGAGTACACGTCTCCACCTGTCTGTAGTCTGATACCCATTTCAACTTTTTGACTTGGTTATCTCTTTCACCAGCGGTTTTCGAACAGCTACATCTCTATTGAGACCTCTCCGTCCTAATATGTATGATACTGTTCTCTAGGTAACATTCACATCTGTATTTACAGCAAGGTCGTTGGCAAAATCTGTACTCGGTCATCGTCTACGCCGTAAAGATCATGCCATGATATACTTAATAATACCATAAAGCGGGTTGATTAGGGACAAAATTTAGCTTTAATATTCATTTCAAACGAACTATTGATTCGATTACCACAGTGTTTCCATGATATCAACTTTAGTGGTAAGCTAGCAGTGAAGTACAATACTACTTTCATAGATGATAAAATTAGCTTTTTTTTCATATTTGAAATCTATACCATAAGTTTTCATTTTGTAGTTTTATAACAAAACATGAATGATAAAATCCGACTTTGTTCTTTTTCTATTCATTCATGATGTACAGTCATGAAACAAGCCTTGAGAGCTAAGCCTATTTTCAAAAACCTTTCATTTTATTATGCCTTGTTTGCATTTTGTAACGCTAACAACTGACCAATAATTCAAATTAAAAACAGCTAACTTTGTTTACTAAAAAGTCGATTTTTCAATGTGTCAGTAATAATTCGTTTTTCGTTTTCTTTTTGTTTTTTTACGCACATATTAGAGGTTTTTATTTTCTATCCTATTTGTTTTTAAGCCTATTTCTAGTCCCGTTTTAATGAGACGTAGAAGTACAAGGCATGTAGTGATTTATGTAAGGAAATGTTCCAACGACTCGTTAAAATTTCTGAACAGCTTATTATGATTCGATTTATATGATCTGATGACGATGAGCTTAAATTTGTTGTTTTAGAAAAGTTGTTTGCTTCGGCCAACACCTGAAGCTCCTTAATTTCAGAATACTAGTTCATATGGATGATAAGATTGATAAGTAGCCCTCGAACCTAAGATATTCTTATTGTATTGTATCTCTGTGTCAGTGGGTTGGGAGTTAAGTGTCAAAACTTATACTCTACAAAATTTATACCTTTAAAAATGTTAATCACAGATCGCTGTTTTCACTATGGAGTTTAGAAGTGTTTAAAAACTTTTTACTCTTTTTCTCACACTTGAAAGAATCATACATCGAAGATATATTTTATATTTATTTTCTGGCCTCTTTTACTGCTTGCTTTCTCTGCAACTGATATCCCGTCATGATCGCTTCATATCTGCTGTACTAACAGCACGTCGAGCATTTCTCTACCATACACTTGCAAGTATTTGTCTGTAGTTAAACACAAAGCTACACAATGGGCTATCTGTACTCTGACCATCACGGGTATCGAAACCCGGTTTCTAGAGTTGTAAGTCCACAGACATACCGCTGTTTAACACTTGCAAGTAAGCTTAGAATCTGATGTTTCTAGCATCTGTCATTCGAGATATGTGGAACCTTAGCACTGGGTGTGCTTAAAGGTCAAAATGATTACTAGCTTCATGAGATATTGTATTATAATAACACCATGACCTCAGACACAGTTTAGTAAAACCTTTCTCCATCTATCAACCCCCTCCCCCCCAAAAAAAATACACCATAGTATCTGCTCCAGTTCTTTTCAGTGTTTGGCTTGACGATGCGGAGGCTAGAAATATTATATGCGGTCTGGTTGAATCAGGGACTTTTTATTTATAATATAATGTATTTATTGTGCTGATATTGGGGTCTGCAATGCTAATGCTGCCCTCTACCTTATATATATAAACAAACAGTTTGATGTTCTTAGTTCCCAACCACCTTTATTAATCAAACATTACTCGCTACTGGCAACAAGATAATGAATTATTGATGAGTCGAGGGAAAGGGCTAAACTGCAACTGCATCATTGCTTGTACAGCCCCGAGCAAGTTTCTAACTTTACGAATTGCAGCAAAATGAATTATTATAACATAAAACGTATCAGATTTAACTGAAATGTTAAAATTTTATTTTGATAAGATTGGATGTGCAATGATAAGAGATGAAAGGCTTGAAACTAACATCTTCTAGTTTCTTGAAAGGAGGCCTCTGGTTGTCTGTTGTTAACTGTAAAGCAACACAATGAGCTATCCGTGCTGTTTCCACCACAAGTATCGAAACCCAGTTTCTAGAGTTATAAGTCCACAGACTTACCGCTGTGCCATTGGGGAGCAAAAGGAGGTCAAGAATAAAAGTTTATTTCATATCTTCAAACAACAAGCTGTTAATCAATTTCTTAGAGCTAACTAATATATTACGTTTCACCCGTATACGCAGTGAAATACTCTGTACGATTTAAAAGTCAGAAAATGATAATCTGACCACCATGGTCCGGTGGTTAGAGCTAACTAATATATTACGTTTCACCCGTATACGCAGTGAAATACTCTGTACGATTTAAAAGTCAGAAAATGATAATCTGACCACCATGGTCAGGTGGTTAGAGCTAACTAATATATTACATTTCACCCCTATACGCAGTGAAATACTCTGTACGATTTAAAAATCAGAAAATGATAATCTGACCGCCATGGTCAGGTGGTTAGAGCGCTTGACTCATAATCTAAGGGTCTCGGGTTCGAATCCCCGTCCCACCAAATATGCTCGCTCTTTCAGCCGTAGGGGTTTCATAATGTGACAGTCAATCCCACTATTCGTTGGTAAAAGAGTAGCCCAAGAGGTGGCGGTGGATGGTGATGACGAGCTGTCTTCCATTTAGTCTTACACTGCTAAATTAGGGACGGGTAGCGCAGATAGCCCTCGTGTAGCTTTGTGCGAAATTCAAAACAAATCAGAACTCGTTATTTCTTGTTTTACTGATTTGTGTCCAAACTACGTCCAATCATTCTATTGTCGTTTGTTGTATTTGTAATTTCGTATTAGACAAAAAGTCAGACTTATAAGCATTTCCGAGCGTGTCCTGTTACTGCCAAAAGTGACAGTCAAATCCAACTATTCATTCTAACAACAGTAGCCCAAGAGTTGGTGGTCAGGGCCGGCGCGACCGGTGGTGGCAGGTTCTTGGAGCTAACAACAATGAATGTCTAAAAATTTGTTTTGATCACCAGATGCTCTCTGGCCGAACGAAAGCTTCCTCGTCAGGCAGAATCGGTATTCTACGGTAAAGCATACAGCTAGAACTTCACACTTCTGCTGCCTGTCCACAGGTGATTCGCAGAAAATTTGTTGGGGGACGAGCGGCACAGTCAGCGTTTGTATAGGGCGGCAAAATACGTCGCTTCAGCCCTGTCGGCTAACTCCTCTCTAGTCTACTACTTCAAAACTAGGAACGGTTAGAGCAAGCACCTCATGCAGCTTTGTATGCCAATCGACAAATAAACAAGCTTTAAAAACATTGTTAACAAGACATTGTACTTAAGTTTATTGCACTTTTTTTATCCGTTGTTTGTAGGCTAACAACAAAAATATGCAAGACAGACATTTCTGATTATCAGAAGATTTCTTCCTTTCCCTAAGTAACTCATGTATAAATCTATTTATTTGACTTTTCACGAGTATTAAATTCGTGTCGTGTTATCTCAGAATTTGTACGTTTGTGTGATATGCTTCAGTAGTAATGAAAGTAACCTTATTATTTATTATGAGTTGCGGGCATGACCTTTCGTCAAAATTAGTCGCATCTGTGTGTTTGATTACATACGTTTATATTTCATGTAATTTGTTTGTTTGATGTTAAACACAAAGCCACACGATAAGCTATCTGTACTATACCCCATAGGGATCGAACCTTCATTTTAACCTTACCAATCCTCAAGCTCACCTTGAGCCATGGGGAGGAATCCAGTGTAATGATTTGTATTGCTACTAACATTGATCAGACAGTAAGAGAGATTATAATTTTATGGAAATGAAATTTATTTGAGGGATAGTTTTGTAAAACGCATTACTTTCATTTATTTTTTACAACTCTAGGGAAGAGGAAAACAACCCACATTCTGGCTCTGTGGAAAGACCGGCTTCGAGAAAGAGGTACCAGTACCTCCAGAGGTGGACGGGTAGGTTCCATTATCAAAACAAATCATAAGTATTAGAATATGTAAATCATGTCAAAAAATGGGAAGAAAAATAGGTTTAAGTTGTCTTCAGCTGATTATCATAAAATAAACTTGTAGGTATACCATGATTTTACACAAGTCTGATGTTTATATGTTTATAGATAGAAGGATTTCTTATGCATTTTAATTAACTTTAGAAATAAAACTTTAATTGCAAAAACTAAAATAAGATGATTTTGCGTGTCACAGTATATAAAGTTTATAATCACTAAACATATATATATATATATTAGGGCAATCACTTCCGATGTGTTAAACCATATCTATTTTCCCTCACAATAAACATATGAACATGTCAGATCTAAGCCTTTAATATAAAACAAATAAATAACAGTAAAGGGAGAGGTTTGGTACATTAAAATTACAGAGGAAAGAAAAGTGGAAAATCAAACATTTAAATAAAAAATACTAAACTGAAAACAGATGAACTGTATCACCAAATTATATAACTTAACAGTGGCAGTCTTTTAAACTGTTTTTGAACCATCTGTTTTATAAGTATTTCTTTTCAACCATTTTTCTGGTAAGTACATTTCGAAGAAAGACGGCAAAGTTCAAGGAAGCGATTAAATTTCATATGTTTTATTTGAAAGAAAGGTTGTACAAGTATCCCCGCTGAACGTAGGAAATATAACCAAGTTTAAACAATCTATCTATATAGTAGATATTCAAAGATTGATAACGTATGAACTCCATCTGGTGAGACAAAAGGTAATTATTGCACACTGATCATGTGTGCCCTCAATTTAGAGGCAGGAGAAAATGAAAAAACAACAACAAAAACAGAACTCAGGTTTGTATTTGTATTTATGTTATAAAAAATTTCCAGTGAAAGTGGAAACAAGAAGAATTTGAATAAAAAAAAATGTGATTAGTGAGATCCTGCAGTGCGCTTTGAGTAAAGTGAAGCTGGTTCTTCGTGCATAGTTTTTTTATTGATTTTCGTTCTCAGTGTGGGATGTCACCTGATTTTCCTAATGTTATTTCAGTCTGTAAGGACCTTACCATTCCTCTTCGTTTTTTATTGTTCTATAACTTTGGTTTATAAAATGATACAGTTGATATCAAATACTTTGATTCAGCACAAATTAAATCATTCTGCAACTGAAACATGTACGTTGCCATAGAATGTTTAATTTTCTCTAATTCATCCAAGTTTATTTATTAATCAAAGAATAAAGTCCATGTCTGAAAATGTTTTTTTTAAATAATGTAATCAAAACATAAAATACTTATGTAGTAGTAGTAGTTAAGAACGCGAACTAAAATATTCTAAAGTAAATAGACAACTAAAACAGTTTCGTAATATTTTCGATACCAGGGATCGGCTATAGCTGCCTTCCTAAACTTTCGCGGACCGCTACAATACAAGTACAACATAATACTATTACGATTTGCACTTATTGTTATTTGTGAAATCCCACAAACCGATAAGCTGGTTGAGAAGCACTGCTACAAAAGTTATTTAATATATGAAATACAACAATAAGAATTTATATTTGTGATGAGTTTGAGTTTAGTTTAAATTGGTATTTTGTAATTGACAGATTTATTTTACTATAACATCTTGTTTGCTGTTGGAACTTCATACGATGGTAAATTTATTTTCATTGACAGTTTTTTTGTAATTCTTCAAACGTATACAGATATTGAATCAAGAAGATGATGCAGCTGCTGACGAACAAATTGTCAAAATAAAACAAGTTTTGGCAATGGAAATACAGAGTGATTCTAAAGAAAGCTCCATGTTTAGATTATTATATCTTAAAATTACTTGTTTTAGTGGAATTAATTTCACCAGAAACACACTGAGGAGCATTACTTTTAGTAGCAAAAAGTCAGATATAGTAGAGTGTCTCCAAAATTGTCACGGAAGGTGTTCCATATACTTTCCAACATTCTCAATCAGAATATCAGGCCTACCCCTGAATAAAGCTACTGCAAGCATCATCTTTCTTTTAATTGATCTTCGGAATATTGTGCAAATTGCCACGCATTTTCGCCGATATTATATTGTGAAGAGGGAGGGAAAGAAAGAAGGAAAATAACAGCCTTTCTAATTTTGCGAGAAAATCAATGTAGGTATGGAGAATAACATGGTTTTGAACATCATTTCATCACGTCAAAACATTCCCGAATTAAACTAATAACTCTCAGTGTGTCTCTGGAGGAAATTTATTTCATTAGGCCAAATAGTTTCTAAGATATAATAATTTTGAATATGATGTTTTCTTTCTAATCGTTTTGTATAAACACACATGACTCAGCTAACCAGAAGCACAAGAGAACCCTGTCGTTGATAGATATAACTAGCAAGTCTTGGAAATTTATGATCACTTTGTTGGAAAGCGATATCTACTAGCCAACTTTAATATGTTAGAGCAAGATGTATAGTTAGTTATAAACTAGACAAATAGCTTTTTCTCAGTGACTTTAAAACGAAATAAACTATTGAAATTATCTTTCTAGCTAACGCTTTTATGAAAACAAATGAAGACTCTCTAGAACTATTAAAATGTTTGTATTAACCAGTAATTAATATCCTGATTGCTACAGTTGAAAGGAAATTATTTTCCATTCTATCCTGGAGTTAGGCTGACATTCGGAGTTTTATCTGGATATAACGTTAGTTTTGATAGGAAAGTTGACCTTAGGCTAAGATTAGCTATATCCATAGAGGATGCCCATCTGGTATGTAATGCTTAAATCTGACACAAGTTATCCTTTTTGGTTTATTATCCAGAAATTACAAAATGCGTGCAAATTTCACTTATTTTCTACGGATTTAACCTTAAGCAGCTCCTGAAGAAACAATGAAAATAATTTCCTATTAACGTCGTTCTCTTACTCAACTGCTGTTAATATTGTGTAAAGGAGAGAAAACTGATAGTTTTTGTTCATCATATTTGAAATACTTCTATAAGGTTAAGTTTTATTGATGAATTATGATTATTTTTTATTACTGCTACAGTGAGGACAATCACGGGTAAGTTTTTTGAAATATAAAACCTTACTCTTTGCACTTTAGTTTTTTGACCTGTATAATAGTTGATAATTATTGCATCGTTTAGGTTTAGCATTTGATAGTGAATTGGTAATTTTAGTTTCGCAAAATCTTTCTTTCATATAGTTTAATATACTTTTATGTAAATTTTATATAGTTTTAGAAATTCCCCTTTTTATTTTGGAATACTAAGTTTATTTATTAATCCATTTACTTGTTTACAAATTATTGGAATTCTTATTAATATTATATTTTAAGAATCTTATTTGTTTGACGCAACTAATATACTTATCATTATTCGAATTGAAGCCTAAGATCATATTTTCCAAATTCAGCATCTTACTAATGTTTCTCACAAAAACTTGTAAGCATTTTTACCTAGTTTTCAACCTTAATAGCCCTTTCTTCTTCCTTAAACCATTATCTAGAAATATTTCTTTTATCTAACAGGTGCTTCTTTTTCTTTCACACTAATAAAAACGTTGTTTTTAGTAATGTCCTATCAGGCGTTGCATTTTATAATATAAATTAAACGTTCCTTGATGTTCGTCTGCAAATCAACGGGACACACTGATTTCATGTGTATTTATTTAGAATGTAAAGTGTTATTATATTATCTTAAATTTGTAATTTTCCATATCAGTTTCTTATTTATTTCTCGGCTTATAAGTGTTTGTTAAGGTGACTTTATGGAATTGTAATTCATTCAGAACAAACATACCAAAAAAAAAAAGAAGGAAAGTTATGGCTTGTCTCTTAAGATCAATGTTAAATTACTTTTTACAGTACAAATGACATTTTTAACTCTGACAGATTTAAGAACGATGATGTTTTTAAAGCAATGGGCAGGAAGAAAGTGGGCGGATCAGAAACAAACGCTTCTGAAAATCAAGATGATGAGACTCCCAAAGTCCATAATTCTACAGCACAAGACTTTAACGTAGGCGAACTGGCATCTGGTTTGTTGAAACTAACCCCAATTTTGGCCGATATTGAGAGAAACATTCAAACTCCTTTAGATTATGATAACATATTTCTTTCTCCGCCGATTACCTCTACCTATGAAAACAAATGTTTTAATAAACAAAATAGCAGGACGTTTCCATTTGGTCCCAAACCCATAAAAAACACGAGCCAGCACATACAAAGAATAAAGGAAAACGAGCTGAACGTGTCCAGCATAACCACGTGCAGCAGAAGGTCCAGTTCAGCTAGTCTCATGTCCATTATTTCTCGGATAGAGACTGCTCCTCCTGAGAGTCACGTTGCCGAAACTCTGTAATTCGAAAGTTTATAGTTTTTACTTTCGAAAAACCAGATCCTTTTTCAATACGGGAGTTGCCTTTCGCTTCAGTGTTATTTTTACGATGCTAACGACTCCAACAAGCGATGGAACCTGTTTTGAACTTCAGTTCTCTATTTTCAGGAGCATGACTTACAAGAACGAAACAGGGTAAACAAACAATCAACCAAAACTTATACGAAATGGATAGATCATAAAGATTTATTCCGCTCAGAATAAGAAATCAGGCACCACTATGTAATTCGCACAAATTACAAACATAGCATAAAATGTAATTCAGGGCATATATATATTTACTATCAAATCATCGTCGTGTAACTCGCATTAAGCATCAAGTACGGTATTACCAATGTTGGACTTATGTCAAGTACACATAAACCCAATGTGTAATCTAATCCAACCACATGTACAGCCAACGTGTAACCCACACAAAGAACAGTGCCACTAATATGTAATCCACAGCGAGTACTTGTGCACGTAACGTGTGACCAACCCACACCACAACACATGTAGTCAACATCTAACCACCACTAACTATATCAACGACTAACGTGTAATTACCACTATATTGATTAATAATGTGTGATCCACCTCCACTACTCGTAACCAACGTATAATTAATACTAAATATATATAGAAAAGTCTGAAACTAATGAATTTTACAGAATGTGTTACACATGCTGTCCTTGTAATTCGAAATAAGTTTGGATTAACAGCAGGATTAACTGGACCTTGTCATACTTTAACAGCGCCATAATCAGCCACGTATCTGAAATTAAGAAAAGCTGCGAATCATCAATGGTTCCAGACATTTCGAACACCCTGTGATGCTAACAATGCGTAATCTACATCCACTACTCATACGATCAGTGAGTAATTTACACCAAATATAACATCAAGAAAAGTGTATTACACACACGTACACGTAGGACGAATCCATAATTCTTGCAATCTATAGGCAATTTAAGATTTATGAGTTTGACTACATATATCCTAAGTACATAAACATTGCGATGATTGCTTTGTTTAAATAAAAAGCTGCGCAATGGGCTACCTGCACTGTGCCCGACCCTGAATTGTAGCGTTTACAAGTTCTCATGCTTACCGTTTAGCCAGCAGGAAAAATAACTATTCTTCATATATTTTAGATTAATTACACAGAAAATGTGTTCAACAGGAAAAATAACTATTCTTCATATATTTTAGATTAATTACACAGAAAATGTATTCAACAGGAAAATAACTATTCTTCATATATTTTAGATTAATTACACATGTAAATGTGTTCAACAGGAAAAATAACTATTCCTCATATATTTTAGATTAATTACACATGAAAATGTGTTCAACAGGAAAAATAACTATTCCTCATATATTTTAGATTAATTACACAGAAAATGTGTTCTACAGGAAAAATAACTATTCCTCATATATTTTAGATTAACTACACACAGAAAAAATGTTCAACAGGAAAAAATAACTATTCTTCATATATTTTAGATTAATTACATAGAAAATGTGTTCAACGGAAAAATAACTATTCTTCATATATTTTAGATTAACTACACACAGAAAAATTGTTCAACAGGAAAAAATAACTATTCTTCATATATTTTAGATTAATTACACAGAAAATGTGTTCTACAGGAAAAATAACTATTCCTCATATATTTTAAATTAATTACATAGAAAATGTGTTCTACAGGAAAAACAACAACTTTTTTCAAACTGACTGCATAAATATGTGATCTAGAGACTATATGTATGTTCAGAATTTGAAAATAAACATGTCTAATATGTGATTCAGCGGCTTCATGTTTTCATTATTTTGTGAGACTAAACACATGAATTCTATAATAATCACTTTTACTCATTGACTAGATCTGTTTTATTGGCAAAAAAAGTCCTTCAACAGAAGATGCTTTTGATTAACGAGATAACCAAGTTGATTTGAATGTAGTATTTTCTAATCGATGAATGCTTTTAATTCAAAAACGTACTGGGATAAAGTTGGGCAGTCAAACCAGGTGTAGAGCTTCACCACAGACATAGAGCTTCACCACGCTTCTTCCTTTTCTACGCCAGGAGCTACAAACCCACGCTGCTCTCGAGAAAAAAGATATTATACATAATTTATGTATGAATTTGTTCCAGTTTTCTATCCAGAAATGCACAAAGTGAATATTTCATTTCTTCTGGGTAAGCTTCAATAGGATCGATATCTTAACATGGCGAATCACCTATCACTTTCTTAGGTATCCATGTCAATTTTACTTGCTAGGGGTGGAAAACAAAACGAACATTGTTTTCATTACTTTGTCAGGCTATTATGCGATCCATACACCAAACACGTTGTGGAATCACTTCTAGCACATAATCCATTCAGTTTCTGTTTCTATAGTGAAAGTAAACACATCTGACATGTAACCCATAGATTATCCAATTTCTGTATGTAGTAAAATTAACACATGTAACGTGTAGTCTATAAAGAAACTATACAATTCCACTACATAATAAAGCCAAATATATCTAACGTGTAATCCACGGGTCACTCAGTTCCAGTATATGGTGAAACTAAACACATGTAGCATCTAATGTATGAAAAAACTATACATTTCCAACATATAATAAAGCCAAGTACATCTAACGTGTAATCCACAGATTACTCAGTTCCTGTAAGTAGTGAAACTAAACATGTAACCTGCGTGGAGATTACACATTTACAATGTGTAGTTGAACTCCACATCTAACATATAACCCTGAAACTACTTAGTTTCTGTATGTAGTGAAACTAAGCATATCGAACATATAATCCAGAGACTGCCGAATTTCAAACATTTCTAATGTCTTTTATGTATCCTTAACTGTACTTTATAGATTATATAGTTATAAATTGAGATATATTGTCATGGCAACATGAATGATAATATTCAGACCTATATTTATCTTTGATAACTCTTACCTATTTTATCTTATACATAACCTATATACGTTAAAATAAATCGTATTATATTAATGTCGCTGTTAACGAAATTTTATCAATATAAAAAGACACATTCAGTTTCTGTAACTATTTTTTCATTATCTCATAAGCTTACTCGAGGTATGTTGATATTTAATAAGAAAACGTATGAGTGTGTTGTGTTGACCTGACATTATTTAATATGTCAGTACGTTAGATTATAGTGTATAATCACTGAAATAAAGCTCTACCGCAGTGTATGTGGCTGCGCAAGCTGTTTAATTGGTTTACAAACAACACATTCTTTCCTATAGAGATATCCATAACTTATTGCGTAATTAATTATTAAAGATAATACTTGGTTGATTATATATCTAAAAACAAACATATATTATCACAATAATCCAACTTGACTCGTCATATAGCTGTAAGCAATTGCATGATCAATTCAGTTTCATTAAACTAACGTTTGCTTCATAGTTACTGTACTAACAAACCCGTGGGCCTATGGCCCACATTTACAGGACCGCTATAACGCAGGTTTAATGCTTGAAATCCTACTTTGCCTTTTTTCAGTTTAATGATCATTGCCTCTATAATGAAAATTTAATTTCTTTAACGAATGATAATTAAAAGTTCTACTTATTAACGTGTCCTAATGTAAATCAATGCTACATCTGACTCCGCTTTCGGGGAATCCTCGTAAAACTGTTTTCGTGAAATACCCGGATTCCGTAAGGGGTTGGGTGAAAAGTTTTAACTTTCTGCACACATCGGAACCGATTTAGCACCATTTAGAAATTGATGAGCCCAGTAGTTTAGGAGAAGAGGTTTTCGGGATGTTCCGGGTTCCCCACGGGGTGGTGTGAACAATTTTACCTTTGTGCAAACCTCGAGGCTAAGACGATTGGTTTGGTATCACTTATAAGTCAGTACACTAGCGGTTTAGGAGTTACGTGACATACAAACACTGAATATTATTATACAGATGTAATTATGTTAATTTTTTCGTGTTTATATTACAATTGTAAAGCAGAAACAAAGTCAGTACAAACTGATTGGCCTCTCAGTGGCTCAGCGATAAGTCTGAAAGCTTATAACACTAAAAATCGGGCTCCGATACCCGTGGTGAGCACAACACAGATAGTCCATTGTGTTACTTCGTGCTCAACACCGCCACCAACAACAACAGAAAACCGACGGTTGGGCAAAAACAGTCATCCACTTCATATCTGCAACAAATCCTAGGAGAACATCTGTAGATGCAAAACAAAATGTTGATCAGCGCCGGCCTTAACAAACACGAGGCCACGATGAGCAGGGTAATCTTGTCAGGAGTTTAGCGATGAATTTTCAGGCATATAACGTTAAATATCAGAGTTCTATATCTGCCATGGGCACAGAGAAAATAGCCCATTGCATACCTTTGCGCTTAAAAAATAACTTATAGAGTGTGCTAACAGGTTGTCGTTTAGCATGGAGATTAGGAAGACTTTTCCCAGTCCCCCAATTTGTATTTTTAATGAGTTTTTGAACAAGGCAACAATTTTGTTGGGTTTTATTGTTACTTTTTAGTGCCTGGCTATACAATGGAAATCGAACTACAGAATTAAGCGTTATATCTCCATAAACTTACCAATGTCCCATGTTCAATTCAAAGTGCTCAATATGTTTAGCAACTTAATAATGCTTTAAACTGGCAGCCAAATTTTCCAAAATAGTGAACAGCAAATCTCAAGTGGTAGTAGTCTATATGTATCGATATTTGGTTAATTTGTTGTTGTTAATCGCAACCTGGGAGGGTCAGGTGCAACCTCTCATCACTCCTTTACCGTTTCTCTTTTAAACTGACAAGTTCTAACGACTAATTCTCGAAAACAGGGCTAAAAACGTTATTTTTAAACACTGTTCCTTTTCCCCTCTTTAAGGCCATGTCCATGAGTATAATACAATAGCATTCATTACCACTTTGATTCATTGGTTGTGAAAAACACTTCGCAAACTTTTCCCTGGTAAATCATAACTTTTCGCTAGATTAATTTATGAAGCGCGCATTTCACATAAATACCCTATAAATACACATTTAATACTTTCTAAAAACTACTTCCAACCGTTACGTTAAGTAATTACAACAAACAATAATACATATCCATCGGTTCGGTGGTGAGTTTGACTTACAACTTTACCGGCTGATTACAGAAGTAAAGGGGGACCCGCCTACCGGCTCATTACAGAAGTACAGGTGATCTGCCTAGGCTGAAAACCCATTCACAACAGCCATATAACATCTCTACACACACAGTCGCTTCTGTGAGTTACAGAGAAGACCGAGACGCTTACATTCAACGATATGCAGTAAAAACTTTATAGTACTCCTAAGGCCTCTTCCTCTTAACGACATCTGGGTAAGTCTGGTATGGGTGTTTTTAAACACCGACTAAAGATAAGCCCTTAATTAAACTTCTTAATACTACTTGCTAAAAAATACATCACACGTTTTAGCAAATACAAGAGAAGAATGTAAAGTATCGCCAAACAAAAAAAGACAATTCAGAAACAAGTACCAAAGATAGTGAAGCAAGTACTAGCACGAGATGACCAATGTCAATACTGTACAAGAAATTAAAATTGAATAAAAACAACCCCAAACTACAAACACACACACAAAATAACAGTACCACTATGGATGCTGAAACACACACTCAAAATTTTTAAACACGGGAAACACATACAGAAATAGGCGGCTTCACTTTAGTAACGAAAATTATCACAAAACACAGAGCAAAAAAAAAAAGAAACACAAGATAAAAGAATACCTATATAACCACCAAAACACGCAATAATCATTTAAGGCATATCAGGGTCATACAAAGAACCACAACTAGTAACTGAAATCAGAAGATGCAAACCGAAAAAAAAAATAGCGTGAATCAAACGTCTTGCTAAGGGCGGTGTCTTAGTGAGACATTCTGAAGCGGCTAACCTAAACAGTCTTCTCAATGAACGGCCTCGAAATGCCTTCAAACCAGGACACATCACACATTACTTACCACGAACCAAACCAAACATGAAAGCTTTTGATATCAATGGTATTTATTACAGTATTGAAATCGAAAAAATACAAAAAGACTTACAGAAAACGATATTTATTTCACAAAAGTAGAAAGAATCATATAAAAAAGAACACAAAAACAAACAAACCTAGTAACAGGACACACACAAGATATCCAGAGTATAATATCAAGCGCTATTATTTTCTGGTATCAAGAGATTTCAAGTGGAAGAAGCTGAAACACCCGCTGTAGTCGTAACGCAACGTTACAACTGTCAACGTTACGGATACTTCGCAGCAACTTGTAACTCTCTCCCACGATGGGTGGGCTGTAGTGGAGACCATCATATCTCAGAATGTAAAAAACCCTCTATAATGTAATTGCAAACAAAAAACACGGCAAACTACAAAGGTTGTCCCACATATAAGGACATCAAACACAAAATACATAACGTACAAACCAACACAAACACACAAAAGACCAATAAAGAAAAACACCACTACTGCCAACACAATTATAAAAACCAACAACTTCAACTACTCAGATCTCACAAACATATACCTATGCAGCAGCTGTACGTTCACCAAATAACAAGCAAAATAAATCAGAACAACAATCAAATGGAAACAAATAATAAGACAATCACTCTCTATATTTAACCCTATCATAGAAACAGTCAGAAACACCTTTACAGACTTCATCCACGAATACCAAAATCCACAAAAGCAAACAGACGACATAACCTTACTTTTTGAAATACTTTATTCCAATAATTTCACATATCATC